TCAGAAGTTAAGGGCGCTGTTTGCTCTTCCACAGGACCGGGGTTCAGTTCCCAGCACCCACATGGTAGCTAACAACTGTCCAGTTCCAGAGGATCTGATACCCTCTTCTGGCCTCCAGTGACATACATTCAGGCAAAAACACTCATACACACAGACAAAGGGCTGTCAGGTACCACAGAGAAATGAATGATGAATGAGACACTTCCAAGAAGCTATGGAGGGCGGCTTGCAGGGAATATAGGTGCATCCTCCCTTGCATTCCAGTGACAGCCAAGGCAGACCAAAAACTTGCTGACTCCAGACAAGGTCTGGACTAGACAGGCTGCCTAAGGTGCACTAGGCACTCACATGGGCCAAGGGGCCTAGGATGGCCTTGCTTTCATATGCTGGTTCATTCACAGCCTCAGAAGGACTGGCCCTGACTCCCTGTAGGGTCAAAATTTCCTCTACTGGTGGGTCCAAATCCAGGTTCCAGGCTCCAGTGTACTCACTGAGCCTCAGTGTCCACCTGGAAACCTGGAGGCAGCCAGGAGGAAGCACTCTGGGCTGGCAGTTCAGACTCCTGAATGGAAAGGGCCCCTTGCCATGGCTCTCTCTTCACCCAGATGTCTGTGTGGTCTCAGTCCCCAAGGCTGTGTGCATAGGTATGGCCAGACACTTGCACACAGCCCCTAGCACAAACTCTGTTGTCACAGAAAGTAACTGTGTGAGCTTCAGCGGCCTTTGGAGGTGCAAATGACACCATCAAGGCACTGCACACAGGCAGCTGCATCCTACCTCCCCAGAGCCAGGTCATACGTCCAGCCCAGGTTCATGTGCAAAGGACCCTGAAACCATGCTGTAAAGCCCCTACCAAGCCTACCAGAGGCTCACAAGAGAGACCACCAACCTGAACTTCCAGAACACCTTTCCAGGCTGTGTCCCAAGAACCAGCACCTGTGGATACCAGGCTCACACCCAGTCCAGGGGTCTAGTCTACTGCTGGGGTGGGCCTGGCCATTCTCAGAAGTCACAGCTCATACTGGTGGAGTCAGCAAGGCTGGCATGGAGTTTAAGCACTGCTCTGTACATAGCAGCTTGAGTGGGTTTATGGGCCTGTTATGTGGATTATAAATTACATATTCTTACCAGAGTACAAAACCACAAAAGTTAGAGAAAGGGAATCATGGGTGCCTCAGCAGTATTTGGAGGATTTTTTTCCTTTCCACCTTTACCTTCAGTACAGTACCCATGCACATGGGTAAAGAAAAATATTTCTCCCTGTATAGATACTATATCTGTACCTAGCTGTGTCTCCTCTGAGAAATAACCCACTTCCCTCTATAGAGGGCAAAGGTATAGCTACCTATGTTCCCATTATGAAGAACAACATCCTTCCCTACATGGACAGTACAGCTCTACTTGGCTGTTTGTCTCTACTGTGAGGAACCCCACCCCCAAGATGTCGGTAGATGATGTCGGTAGACAGCTGTGTCTCCTCTAAGGAACAACCCTCCTCCCTTGTGTAGATGGCATAGCAATCCATACCCAGCTACATCTCCACTGTGAGGAACAACCTCCCACCCACTATAGATGGCATACATATACCCAGGTGTGTGCCTACTGTGAAAAGCAATCTCCCTTCCTGTGTATATAGCACAGCTATACAAAGCTCTGACCACTATGAGGAATATGCCTTTTCTGTGTAGAGGTCTTCAGCTATACCAGGCTATTGTCTCCACTGTGAGAAACCCTGTGGCACCCATTTTTTCACAGAGCTTGACTTTTCAATCACCTGAATCAATATGTCGGTTAAAATAAGCAAATGAACCAAAAAATCACATGACATGAAACCATAGGTGGTTTTGCTCTCTGGATGTTGGTCACACCTCCCATCTGCATGGCCCAGAAACCTGCAGCCTAGTCTTAGCCCTCAGGAACAGAAGATGCCTGTCTGCCAGGGCTCAGCTTGCTTCTTGGTAATACGGGGATCAGCATGACCTGTTCTGTGACCTGAGGTTGGCTAGCACTTGTGTCCTGTAGATGGTTCTTGACCCCGTACATTCTCTAGACAGAGAATACCAGAACTGTCCCTGTTCTTAACCCTGACACTGGCCAATCAAGAGAGTTGTGGCTGCCACCCCTAAATCCCAGCACTGGGGAGACACAGGCAGGTGGATTTCTGAAATGGAGGCCAGCCTGGTCTACACAGCAAGTTCCAGGCTAGCTGGGGCTACAGGAAGACCCTGTCTCAAAAAAAACAAGAAAAAAGCTGGGTGTGGTGGCGCATGCCTTTAATCCCAGTGCTCAGGAGGCAGAGGCAGGCGGATCTGAGAGTTCAAGGCCAGCCTGGTCTACATAGTGAGTTCTGGGACAGCTGGGGCTACAGGGAGACCCTGGCTCAAAAAGACCAAAAAAAAAAAGAAAAAAAAAAGCTGTCATAAGAAACACTTTTCCTAATCATCCAAAGTCCCTGCTTCTTTGGATCCCTGTCTTAACTGACTCTACAGCCTATTGAAGAAACAGAAAGTCAAAGGGGACCAAGCCTAGCCGCCTTAATACCCTTAGTTCTGTCACTGGGCTCTGTGGATTATTAAGTGCCACCCTGCCCCCATCAGTTAACAACCACTACTATAACATTTGGGGAAGCACCTAATGTTCCCCAAGACAAACACAAAGGAGTCAAAGGCCATACCCCCTACAGGGACAAAAGGAGGTGTCCAGAGATGTTGGATGCTCCCCTGTGCCAGGGAAGCCTGTACTGACATCCTTAGATCAAGGCAATGGAACATTCTCCCATCTATAGCTTATACCTCACAAGTCCTTCACATCCACTGCTGTGCCTGGAAGGGTGAAATGCCTCTGGGGTTATTCAGGCTTCTGACACTGAAATGATGTCCTGGCCTGTGGGAATCATGGGGAGAGACATTGTGAAACAAGCTCTGACTGTGGGAATATAGCTGGCACCTCTTTCCCTCTCTCCTTCCTAGTGGCCCAGGTGAGGCTTCAGAGCTGGGGGCCACACAATCCAGAATATGCCAAGTAGGGCATTGGCTCCATATGTACCTCAGAGTTCCCATCAGCTAGAGGGTCATTTGAGGGGTAAATAAACTAATCTCTGTAAAGACAGCCTGGTAGAACGAACCAGTCATCATTACAGTGGGATGGAATTATGAATTACCTGAATTTAGGGGAAAAGTCACTACAGTTTGGCCAAGAAGTAAGTCCCAGCAAAATGCTTCTAGACAAGATCTAGAAACATTTTAATTTCCAAGGCCAAGCTCAGAGGGCAGAGAAAAGTGTGTGAGATTGCCATAAGGTTATCATATTTGTAGGAGTGTAAAAGGCAGGATAATCTCTTAGTAAGCTGGTGGTAAGCCAGTACAAGTCCCTAAACCCACGATCTGTGGCCTAAGGGGGGGAGGGGGTAAGCCAACAGAGGCAGAACACTTATATCCAAATAGGCTCAGTCAGCTCCTGATAATGTGCTGTGACCTTAAGGCAATGGCTCTGGACTTCCCGAAAGGCCATTTCTCCCTTTACTCCCTCCCCCTCTCTGTACAAGCCATTCACAGAGCACTCCTCACAAGCAGTTCTTTGCCTGCTGTTTGGTGCTGTGGCAGCTGGCTCAGCCTAGCAGTCACTTAAGATGGCATCTGAAGCCTCCAGGTGGTGCATGCTTTTAATCCCAGCACTCAGGAGGCAGAAGCAGGCAGATCTCTGGGTTCCAGGCCAGCCTGGTTTGCATAGAGAATTCCAGAACAGCCAAGGCTACACAGTAGGATCTCACCTCAGGCCCAAGAGTCCCAGTTTCTAGAGCAGGAACAGGAAGGAGGTCAACTAAATGCACAGGCCTTTTGGCCCCCTTGGGGTGTTTCTGGGCCCCACCCAAGGCAGTACACAGAGGTGAGGCAAGGTGGGAGATTGAAGGTCTGGAGCACATGGTATTGGTATCATGGCTGCAATGTAGGGGCTCAGCACTGGGTTTGGCTGTGTCGTTACCATTGCTAAGGTGGGAAAAAAAAAAAAAACCTGGGCCATTCTGTCTCAGTATGTCAGAACTGGACACAAGGTAACCACACCCCACCATGGTGATTTAGCTGGAGATGGCTGGTTTGGACCTAGGACATATCTCAAGTTCCCCAGAAAACCACTATGACCCTGTCTTGTGCTCACTGGTGCCTTGGGGCAAATCCATTCCAGAGCCACTCTGATCATCACTACTTGACCCTCAGCTCTCTACAGACCCAGTAGACCCTGAACTGATATGTGAGCTTAGTGAAAATTCCCTTTTAGGACCTGCGATAACCAATTCCCCTTTCCCAAAGCTTTGCCTCTGAGACTGAGGACCCCAGGCCATCAGTCCCTGAGTCCAGCAAGTGATAAGGACTACACAAAGTGATCCCTGGGACCACCCAGCCCAGCAGATGAGGATCCTCAGAGTGCTCATCTAGACAGAGATCTCTGCATTCCCAGGAGCCAGTAAGGCCTTTGAAGGCCCCTGGGACTCCAAGGGCCCTGATGATGCCCTGAGAGCCTGACCAACATTTCCACCCACTCCGGTTTTAGAGATAGACACCGGCCAGGCTCACCTTAGTTCAGGTAGGAAGGGCACTATTTGCTCAGCAAATACTGTCCACGACAACTGTCAGATAAGCAGTATTTTTTGGTCAACCTATTATTCGCGCAACAAGCAGTCATCGCCAAAAGGAGTTTCCCAGTTAGCTCCCTGTCCCTTCCACAACCCTGAAGAGAGTGTGGTACAGGAAAAATTCCAAGTGTCCATCTTATCGCTGCCTCCCGAGACCCAACACTGCCCAGCTCCCCAGTCAGTCCTGGACGCAGAAATAACTTGGCAACAGTAACAACTGCTGCAAGGCACGCTTAGGCAGCGTGGTAGTCCTTCCACACGTCCCTCACCCCTGTTCCTCTTCCTCCGAGGCTGCAAGCTCGCGGGCACAGGCCAACGAGTGGGTGGGTTGGTTCCCTTAGTGCCCGGTCGGGCCTTCGCGCCCACCTACCTCCAAGGCCTCCAGCGTGCTGAAACTGGCAATGGCGAAGCCGTCGATGACCTCCTCCTCTTGCGAACTGGACTCGCCGCGGCGGCGCCGCAGGGGGCGCGCGGCGCGGGACGCGGGGCGCGGAGGAGGCGCGCCGCGGAGGCCCGCGTTCTCTTTGCCCGGGCTGGGCTCCGGCTCGTCACCCGACGACGGGC